CTTTAAACAAAGACAATTTTATTTCTTTTTTCCAATCTGTATACCTTTTATTTCTTCCTCTTGTCTCATTGCATTATCTAGGATTTCCAGTATGATGTTGGAAAGTAGTGTTAAGAGGGGACATCCTCGCCTTGTTGCTAATCTTAGTTAGAAAGCTTCTAGTTTCTCACCATTAAGTATGATGTTAGCTATAGTTCTCTTGTAGATGTTCTTTGTCAACTTGAGGAAGTTCCTCTCTATTCCTATTTATTTTATGTTCTTTTAATTTGCATTTCTCTGATTATGAGTGAGATTGAACATCTTTTCATATGTTTAAACAACATTTTTATGTTTTTGTGTGTGTTAGAATTGTCTTTTGCCTGGTTTTCTATCAGGTTTTTGTTGCTTTCCTTCAAATTTTAAGAGATCTTTATATGCTAGGTATATTATCCCTTTATCTCAAATATTGTTATACTATTTTCTCTAAGTTTGTCCACTGGCTTTTGACTTTAATTTCTTTTACATACAAAATGTGTTTATTTTTAGTAAAATGACTAACCTTATGTCATGGACAGAAAACGTTTTTGTACCCTGGTTAAAGTGGATTTAATTTTATTGATTAAAAAAGTACTTAAGAGCCAGGTATGGTGGCTGGTACTTGTAATCCCAGCTACTCAGGAGGCTGAGGTGGGAGGATTGCTTGAGGCCAGGAGTTCAAGACCAGCTTGGACAACATAGTGAGACCCCCATCTCTTTAAAAAAAAAAAAAAAATTGGCCAGTCATGATGGCTCATGCCTGTAATCCTAACACTCTTGAAGGCCAATGTGGGAGGATTGCTTGAGCTCAGGAGTTCGAGACCAGCCTGAGCAAGAGTGAGACCTTGTCTCTACAAAAAAATAGAAAAAATTAGCCGGGCACAGTGGCATGCGGCTATAGTCCCAGCTACTCAGGAGGCCGAGGCAGGAGGATCACTTGAGCCCAGGAGTTTGAGGTTACAGTGAGCTATGATGATGCCACGACACTCTACCCAGGGCAACAGAGTGAGACTCTGTCTCAAAAAAAAAAAAAAAAAAAAATAGCATGACACAGTGATGTGTGCCTGTGGTCCCAGCTACTTGGGAGGTTGAGGCAGGAGGATCTCCTAAGCCCAGGAGCATAGCTACAGTGAGCTATGATTGGGCCACCGTGCTCACTCCAGCCTGGACAAAGAGCAAGAGCCTGTTTCTTTAAAAAAAAAAAAAAAATGTTTAAGGCTATGAATATTATTTTGATCACTGCTTTAAGTATATTCCTTAGTTTCTAATATGTAGTATTTTCAATTATCAATATTTAGAAATTTGTTTTTTTAAATGTTCCATTTCCCCTTTTACTGAAGAGTTAATAGTTTATTTTTTTCATATTTGGGGGCCATTTTATGTGATATTTTAATAAATTTCTAGTTTTACTGTAAAAGCGTTTCTTATAATATGCCAGTTTGTGGAACTTGATGCCTTCTATATGATCTAATATATGACAGATTTTTTTGAATGATTCATGTGTGCTTGAGAAGAAGGTGTACTCATTGTTTTTAGGGTGTAAGGTTCAATATATATTGAACTTTTTAATTAGATTATTTAGGCCTTCTGCATCATTACTTATTTTTGGCCCACTTTGTCTTTTACTGAGAGTAGTATGTTAAGCTTTCCTATTGTAAATATTTTTATCTATCTTTCTTTGTATCTCTTACAGTTTTGGCTTTGTAAATGTGGCTGCTGTGTAATGTGGTACGTGGATAATTATGACAGTTACAAGCTTTACTGCAATTTAAAGTGTTTTTTATCATGTTTAATGCTTTTTGGCTTGAGCACTATTTTGCCTGATATGGGGATTGCAAGCCCTGCTTTTATTGTTTTTTATTTCCTTGTGTTCCTTTTCCCATCTCTTTATTTTTAGCGTTTCTGAATCACTTTGCTTTAGGTGTCTCTTGTATTTATTATATAGTTCTTGCTTTGTGAACCAAGGTGACAATCTCTTTATTTTAGTAGGTGTGTCAGACTCATCCATATTCATTGAAATGATTGATGTTTCATCTTAACACTGTCATAATACTTATAATTGCATCATGTTATATTTGTCCAGGTTTTTTTTTCCTATGTGGTATGTTTTCATTGCTCTTTCATGACTTTTTTTTGAATGTTTGTTATTTGCTATATTGGCTACATTTGTACTTAGATCTTTTGTAATGCCTTTAGTTCCAATTTTGTATTTAACCTTTAATTATCTGGGTTTCTTTTTAGTTTTTAGTAGTATCCTTTAACTCTCACCTGCCATTAATATAAATACAGTAAGTAGTCCCCTCTTATTCACAGGCGATATATTCCAAGACCCCCAGTGGACACCCTGAAACTGTGGATGATACTTAACCTTATATAGACTATGGTTTTTTTTCCTATACATACATATTTGTAATACAGTTTACATTATAAATTAGGCACAATAAGAGATTAACAATAACTAATATTAAAATAGAACAATTATAACAATATGCCAGCATCACTACTCTTGTACTTTGGGGTCATTATTAAGTAAAATAAGGGTAACTTGAACACAAGCACTGTGATACCATGGCAGTCATCTGATAACCAAGACAGCTATTAAGTGACTAACAGGTGGTTAGCATATACAGATGCTCCTTAATGGGGGTGCATCCTGGTAAACTCAAAACTCATCAAGTTGAAATATCTTAAGTTGAAAATGCACCTAACCTACTGAACATCTTAGCATAACGTAGCCTACCTTAAACGTGCTCAGAATACTTGTGTTAGCCTACAGCTGGACAAAATCATCTAACACAAAGCCTAATTTATATGAAGTGTTGAATATGTCATGTAATTTCTTAAATACTGTACTGAAAGTGAAAAGCAGAAAGGTTGTATGGATACTGAAACTACAGTTTCTACTGAATGGGTATCACTTTCACACCGTTGTAAAGATGAAAAATTTTAAGGCAAACCATCGTTAAAACAGGACTATCCGTACAGGGTGGATATGCTGGACAAAGGGATGATTCACGTACCAGGTAGGACAGAGTGGGATTGTGACAGATTTCATTATGTCACTCATAACAGTATGCAATTTAAAACTTATAAATTGTTTGTTTCTGGAATTTTCCATTTGATATTTTCGACCTTAGTTGACCATTGGTAACTGAAATTGTGGAAAGTGAAACAGCAAATAAGGGGGAATTATTGTAATTAATGGAGTTATTTTACTTAGTTCTTTCCCTCTTTCTTCTCCTAATTTTTTGTGAGTTATTACACATTATAAAATGTGTCATAAGGTTACTAATTCAGTAGTTCCCTCTTTTGTCATCCTTGTTAAGTTGCTTTTTTTTTTTTACTTTGATAGTATTTTTAGAGCATAGTCAGGGAAAAGAGGATACTTTTTTTTTTAATTTTCCTTCATCTTAAAGGACCTCAAGTTTCCCCTCCTTCACTGTGCAGTTTCCAAAGAGTTCCCTCCCTTCCTTTTTATTCTTCTGTTGCCTAAAGAATTGCCTTTCTAGGACTGCCTCTTCAAGTCCTGTGTGTACTGTAAATCTCTTCCCTGTGTCCTGCTCTGATCAGAACTCTTTTTCATTTTTTTGTACTTCAAGTGGGTTCTTCTTTCTGATAGTAAATTTTAGGTCAGTCTTGTCCACTGCTAGCTCTCCTTATTTCTTTACCTCTAATTCCCAGATTGTCCTTGCTGTCATTGATAGCTTGTGGCTAGAATGTGATAGCTGGGATTGGGGGACAATGTGAGCTCTGTGTAGTATATCTCTTCTTCTTATTGTTCTTATTGCTTTTAAAGGATGTGTTGAAAGATTTAGATTTTTGCAGCCACCATCATCCCCTCTGACTTTGTTTTCTTACCATGTTCTTTGTATTTCCTCCAGAAATATTTTGTTTCTTCTTTTCCATATTTAAGTCAGTTTTCTGTCCATCGATTTGTATGGGAAGTCAGTTTTTAAAAATTGGTGTGGAAGTTCATAGGTTTTCTAAAAAGTCTCAGTTCACAATTATGTTTTATGGTTTCCCTCACATCTTCGTTTGAGTTCAGACAAGAGGATACTGAAGGTGACCAAAAAAAAAAAAAAAAAAGTAAAGTCACCGCTGGTTGGATGGTGTTTTAAATTCTGGTCTTCCCTGATCTGCTTGCTGTTTACTTTTCAGAGTTCTCAGATAGCTAGGTCGTATATTCTGTCCAGATTTCATAGTTGTATACAGTGGGAAGAATCAGGGTGGCATGTGTTTACTCTGTTTTACCTGGTACTAGAACAGTCATCTTAATACTGGCAGCTATGGGCTAAGTGTCATGTCCCCATATGTTGTCTGAGTCTAGGTAATTTTGTTTTTCCTTCTAATCCTTAGTTGCAGAAAGGTTGTTTAGGGAACTGAAAGTCTCAGTAACTGAAAATAAGGCAAATTAAAGCTTCTGAGGAAAGAAAGATGCCAGTGGTTAAGTCTGTGCTCTCTGACTTCTTTTTTCACCCATTATTGACTGCCTCCTGAGTTGTTTATGTCTGAAATATAAATCAACTTAGGCTGTTGTAAATTTTGAAAAACTAAAATTGTGATGATTTTAGTTTCGGTGATAGTTAGGTGGTGGTTTTGTTGTAGTCCCAATTATACTTTGTAGTCCCTATTGTACTTTAGATCAGAACAATCTGAGTTTCTGTGGGGAAGATGATGCCTTAGTGTTTTTAGGGTACACTGAAATTGAGTGTTTAAAGGCCCTTTCCTTCAATGTTGTTATAATCCCAAAGGAAGCTATAGATTGTGCAGATCGATTATAGATTCTTTATTGTCCTTTTCTCCAAAGAGTCAATATTGGATGATTTGGGACTATAGCTAGTCTCTACAGAATTGAACTTAAGGAATTACCTAAGAAAACCCATCTGTTCTTTTTAAATTTAGTTTAGACATTGTTGCGTCCTTTGAGTGCAAATGATCTAATGCTAAATCTCACATTTATGGCTTTTTATCCTTATGTTTTACAGAACGCTATTCTTCTTGAGAAATCAAATTCTCACAACCAGGAAGTGAATGTTTTCTTCCATTTGGATTCTAGGTAAGCTACAGTTACTTCAGTTTCCTTCTCTTTTCCATACTGCTTCTCATCAGAGTAGCTCCCATCCTCTGTGGTGGTCAGTCCTTTTCTTTTATTGGATAAGGAGAAAAGTAGAAATTCAATAATTCATTTATGCACTCAGCAGGTGCTTATTAAGCACCAACTTTGTGCCTGGCACTATTCTATATACTAGGAAAAGAACGTCAAACAAATTAGACATCCTTGCTTTATTTTAACAATGGATAATAAACTAATAAGTGAATTACATAGTATGTTAGAAGGCGATAAGTGCAGTGGAGAAAAGCAGAAAAAGGGGATAGGGAATGCTGGGACATGGGGGCAATTCACACCTTTTTAAATAGGGTGGTCAGGAAAGGCTTCCCTGAGAAGTGACATCTGAAAAAATAGTCATCGAGGGAATTAAGAGAGAGCCATGCACATCTGGAAGGAAAAGTTTGCAGGCAGAAGAAAGGAAGGGCATAGACCTTAAGAGGAATATGCAAAAAGCTTTATAAAGCTTTATAAAGCTATGGATGAGGACATATTGTGGAAGCCATTGTGGCTGGATTGGACTATGCAAAGAGAAGAATAATAAGAAAGGAGGTCATAGAGGCAGTGACAGGGGCTGGTGGGGCAACTCAAGTGGGGCTTCTTGGGCCATTGTGAAAGTGAGAAGTAATAAGAGTAATTTGGACTAGGACGGTAATAGCAGAACCTGGTGAGAAGTTAGATTCTGGATGCGATCTGAAATGGAGCCAACAAATTTTTAACTGCTTGATTGTGCAGTGTGAAAGAGAAGAATGCAGGGTGACTCCAAAGTTTTAGCCTTAGGAAATAAAGGGTGAATTTGCCATAATGGAAATGAGGCAGGTGATGGGTGGAGTAGATCTGGAGTTCAGCCCCAGTGTAGGTCCTTTGCTCACTTCCTTTGACTGGTAAGGCAAAAATACTTGGCATTTAGCTTTATAAATGCATTTTAATAAAAGAAAATAGCAACACTCTTTATGATACTTCAGGCTTTGAGGGTTGATTGTGGCAGGGACAAAGTATACTCTGGTCTTACAGTCTAAGGAGTTCTTCTGTGATGCTGTGAGAATCATGTGAAAGATGTAATTTGAACCAAAAAAATGTGATTTCTAGGACAGTTCATAGATCATGGACATATATAATATTTGAAATGTAAGATTATAGTCATGGTATTTCACATACATGTGTCTATTTTATTAAGCTTATCTACTTTATTTTCTCAAAGACTGTTTAACTTCCCAGTTATTGGCCTTGCAGCACCTTTTCTCCCCATTCTGTACCTCTGTGGTCACAGTGCTGCATTGGATCTATGTCTTGACTCTGAAGAAATTGTACTCCTTCCACCCCATTCAGTTCTTTTTCTTATCCCCTAAAACTACATTTCTGAATTGACATTTGAATCCTTGCTATATATTTTTATATTTATAAATAACTTCTGCTTATTACACGAGCAGTCTCTGGGCCTTTCACAAGGAAAGTATACAAATTGCTGAATGGAAATTAGAAAACTGTGGTTAGCAAATTGATGAAATAGAAAGTCATCTGTCATCTCACTTCATGGAGATAATCATGTTAGTACCATATCTTCTAGTACATAGAAAAACTCCTTGGACTGTAAGACCAGAGTATATACTTTGTCACTGCCACAATCAACCCTCAGAGTCCGCAGTATCATTTTGACTCACTGTTTTCTGTGTGTGCAGGTGTTCATTTGAGTTCTAGTTCATTATACTTACTAGTATACTGTATTCAGTGAGTTTTAACACATTAACTGCCACGAGAGTTGTATTTAACTCACCCTAGTTTTGACTCCAGGACCATGGAAACCATATAGAACATCTTGTTGATGTTCTTATTGTTACAATTAATATTGGCAATTTAATTCTAAAAACGTGGATTAAATGAATAGAAGTCAATAAATTTCATTTTTCTATTTATGTTTACCTTTAAATTACAATCAAAGTTTTTATTCTATTTTCATAATAAAACACTGTGGCCCCAAGGAAAAGTTTCTGGGTTTTTTGTGTGGTAGTCAATGTGTTAATATCGTTTCCTTTACAAATGAATGTAGGCTTCACACATTGGATATTGGACCTTTTTGAGAATTTAATGAACTGTGGACTTTCTCCCCAGAAAAGTGCATATACACTGAACAATATTTTTTAGTCAGTTTCAGAGGCTTCATAGGTTATCTTGGGAGTCCATGGATGCCAAATAAGAACTTCTATTCTAGGTTTGAACACTGACTATGTGTCAGGTACTTTTTTAGGTGCTAGAGAAATAGCAGTGAATGAAACGACCAGAAACTCCTGTCCTTTACAAGCTTACATTCTATGGAGAAAAACAAAACAGGAAAGGAGAGGAGTGTTGTTTGTATGAGTCAGCTATAATGCAGATGTGTTATAATTTAGAATAAGATGGTTGGAAATGGCCTCACTGAGAATATGACAGTTGAGCAAAAATTTCAGTGAGGTGAGGAAGGGAACCTTGAAGATACCTGGAAGACGAGCCCTTCAGCCATGGAGAGGTAGCAAGGACAGAGACCCTGAAATCAGAGTGGGTCTCGCTTGTTTGAGCAACGGCAAAGACCCAGGTTGACAGGAATGACAGTTAAGTAAGTGGCGGAAGAGCAGAGAAATCAGTCAGAGTGATAACTAGGAATCAGATTTCATAGAAGCTTGTAGGTTTCTAACAGGAACAGTTTTGGTGGACTAGTGAGGGTGGATGTCTAATTGGAGTATGTTCCAGAAACCTTAGAAAACAAGAATTGGAGACAATTAACAGATTGGTTTATTTTGAGGAGTTTTGCTGTGAAATGAGATGGTAGTTCAAGGTTGGGGTGGCTAAGAGAAGTTTTCTTGTTGGCTGTGCTTTTGTTTTTTGAAGAGGTAATAGCCAGTGTACTAATTAGAATGATCCAGTAGAAAGGGATAAATTGATAATGTAGGAGAGGATGGGTAGAATTGCTGGAGTGGTGTCCTTGTGAAGAAAGCAGGTAAAATCCAGTATACAGATGGAAAGACTGTCCTCAGATTGAGCAGGGAGGGGCAGTTTGTCATCCATGGTACCAGATGGAAAGATGGAGTGCTTGACCACACTTGCAAGAGGTTGGTTGACGTGGTGGTGGGAGCATGTAGAAGGGTTTTTTAGTTTGTTTTTTGTTTTTGTGTTTGTGTTTTGTTGTTGTTTTGCTTGCTTGCTTCCGTTTTCTTAGTAATATAGGAAGCAAAATTGTCAGCTTATGGGCTGGGCGCGGTGGCTCACGCCTGTAATCCTAGCTCTTTGGGAGGCCAAGGCGGGCGGATTGTTTGAGCTCAGGAGTTCGAGACCAGCCTGAGCAAGAGCGAGACCCCGTCTCTACTAAAAATAGAAAGAAATTAATCAGACAATTAAAAATATGTAGAAAAATTAGCCGGGCATGGTGGCGCATGCCTGTAGTCCCAGCTACTTGGGAGGCTGAGGCAGGAGGATCGCTTGAGCTCAGGAGTTTGAGGTTGCTGTGAGCTAGGCTGACGCCACGGCACTCACTCTAGCCCGGGCAACAAAAGCGAGACTCTGTCTCAAAAAAAAAAAAAAAAAAAAAAATTGTCAGCTTATATTCTTAGGTGAAGGATGGGGGTGCTGAATGTATGAGGAGAGGATCAAACATATGAAAAGACTGCTGAGCAGAGTAAGTGTGAAGGATGTGGAAAATAGCCTTTCCTCTCCTTTTGTTTCTCATGTTTCTTCTTTAGTGTATAGTTTGCAGTTGATAAATATAGTGACTCTTTACTCCCTCTGAACTTCTCTCTTGAATCAACCCAACTTTTTTTATTAGCATTAATCTACATTTCTGTATTTCCTGTTGGCCAAGATATCTTTAACTCATGTAGCGTTGTAGCCCAGCTTTTGAGTAGAAAGATTTCAATCTCTCTCTCTATTTTAATCTCCTAGTCATTTGAAGATGTGGCTGCATCCCTTACTCAGGAGGAGTAAGAGCATTTGAAGTCTGAGCAGAGGGCCCTTTCTCTTAATGTTATAAAAGGATTATATCACTGTGGTCTTTCTGTGTGTAAGGATTTCTTTTTTTTTTAAGATGCTCAATCCTTAGGCATTTCTATAAATGTGCATTCTTCTGAACCTCAGAATGAAGAAAATAACATTTTTTCACAACTCTTCACTATATACAGAAAAGCCTGGTATAAAAGCTGTGTCCTAAACCTAGGCTTTTATCTGTAATCAGTCAGGATTTTCCTTTTTGAGCAAAGTTTGTGTTTTTATGATTATATCAAAGCGGAACCTTAGGCCCCTTTATCATAATAATAGTGATAATAAGAGCTAACGCAGAGTGCTTACCATGAGGATTTATTATTTAACAGAGATTTATTATTTAACTCAACCCATTTTACAGATGAGGAAACTAGGCACAGAGTGGTTAAGAAACTTGTCTAATATCACCCAGCTGGGAAGATAGAGTCATAGGAACCTTACTTCTCTGGGCACTGGGAATGCTAATGGTCATTAACCACTTCCTTCCAAACCTATCTACAGAAAGCACTACAGAGATAGTCATTTACAGTCCCTTTTGGTTTGCTTTCTTCATTAGTATGAGCAGGCATACTAATTATTAGACCTGTCTTGATTTCTCAACTAAAGCAAGAGGAACAAGAAGAGACCTGGTTTTGAGATTATCCAGGTTCATTAAAGAAAAAATTCTTACTGGTAGTTTCCCATAGGTATTGCTGATCAGCTTTATATTATTAAAGGGGAAAACTAAATGGCTGATTTCAATCCATGTCAAAACCTAGAAGACGGACTCTGATATAGAATTTCTGTCTTTTCTGCAGTGATTTTAATTTTGAGGATTTTTCTTAGTTGTAGGAATATAAATAATATTTCTACTTTGTCTCACAGGGTTGGAAATACCAAGTAAGGAATTAGTGTATGTGATGCTGGAAACATACAGAGGCTCATGACTGAAAGGCCTGAAACAGATGTATCTTCTAAGTTCTTATCAAGAAAATGACTATGAAAGCAATAATGGATCAAGAAGACCAGTGGAAAACTCCTTAGGAGAGAGCCATAGAAAATGTACACTTCAGAAGAGAGATGTAATCAGAGAACTCAAAAAAGGAAACTATATCATGTATGCCCTCAGAAGGGTAAAAAGATTTTTATTCGTGTGCATGAGATTACTCAAATAGATGATCATATATACCAGTGCCTTGAATGCGAGCAAAACTTCTGTGAAAACTTAGCTCTTATTATGTGTGAGAGAACCCACACTGGGGAGAAACCTTATAGATGTGATATGTGTGAGAAAACCTTTGTCCAAAGCTCAGATCTTATTTCACACCAGAGGATCCACAATTATGAGAAACCTTATAAATGTAGCAAGTGTGAGAAGAGCTTTTGGCACCACTTAGCCCTTTCAGGACACCAGAGAACACATGCAGGTAAAAAATTCTATACATGTGACGTTTGTGGCAAGAATTTCGGTCAGAGTTCTGATCTGCTTGTCCACCAGCGAAGCCATACAGGCGAGAAACCGTATCTATGTAGTGAGTGTGATAAATGCTTTAGTAGAAGTACAAACCTCATAAGGCACAGAAGAACTCACACAGGTGAGAAACCATTCAAGTGTCTGGAGTGTGAAAAAGCTTTTAGTGGGAAATCAGATCTTATTAGCCACCAGAGAACTCACACTGGTGAAAGGCCCTACAAATGTAATAAGTGTGAGAAAAGTTACCGACACCGTTCAGCCTTCATTGTACATAAAAGAGTTCATACTGGGGAGAAGCCCTATAAATGTGGTGCCTGTGAGAAATGCTTTGGCCAGAAATCAGACCTTATTGTACACCAGAGAGTGCACACAGGTGAGAAGCCGTATAAATGCTTGGAATGTATGAGAAGTTTTACTCGGAGCGCCAACCTAATTAGGCATCAGGCAACTCACACTCACACTTTTAAATGCCTTGAATATGAGAAAAGTTTCAACTGTAGCTCAGACCTTATAGTGCATCAGAGAATTCACATGGAAGAGAAGCCACACCAATGGTCTACATGTGAGAGTGGCTTCCTCCTAGGTATGGACTTTGTTGCACAACAGAAAATGAGAACTCAGACAGAAGAGCTACATTATAAATACAGTGTATGTGATAAGAGCTTCCACCAGAGATCAGCCCTTCTTCAACATCAGACGGTACACATTGGTGAAAAACCATATATCTGTAATATGGGTGAGAAAGGTCTTGAGCTCAGTCCTCCCCATGCATCAGAAGCCTCACAGATGTCTTAACCAGACAAGTTATAATACCATAAAAATGTATTTACGTGTCAGAGAACTCATTAAGGTGAAGAACCCTAGGCAAATCTCAGACTTTCCAGAGCTCAGAATTCAGTGAGGACCAGAAAGCCTGCAATTGTAGGAAATATGAGAAATGCTTTGCCCAGAGAGCTGCCCTAACAGAATACCTTATCAGTCACTCCAATGAGAAACTCTACAGATACCTGGAGTTTTGGAAAACCTTCAGTCTGAGCTCAAATTTTATCACTCATAAGAGGATTCATACAGGTCAGAAACCTTACAAATGCAGTGAGTATGAGAGAGTTTTCTAGCAAAGCTCAGCCCTCCTCGTTGTAAGAGAATTCACACCGGAGAACAACTTTTAAAATGCCTTCAGTGTCAACAGTGCTTCAGACAGTATGCACATCTCGTTGGACTTTAAGAAAACCCACCTTGGGGAAAAACCCCAGCAAGTGTGAAAAAGGCTTCTAACAGAACTCTGACTTCCTACCCATCAGAGAAGCCATACTGGTAAAAAATTGTATATTTGTCTCAAGTGTGACAAAAGCATTAGTTGGAGAGCCTTACTTGCATTTGTACCCCCTCAAAGAAAAAGAACCACAAAATATGAGAAAAGACTTTCAACAAGTGTCTAAATGAGAAAAACTTGTCAATGATCAGCTCTTGTGGTACATCAGGGAACTCACATAAGTGAAAAACCCCCTAAATACCTTGAGTCTGAAAAAAACTTTGCTAGAAGCTCCTATCTTACTGGGCCCCAAAGAACCCGTTCTGCTGAGATTTTGCTCCAGTGAGAGATTCAGTTGTGGGTGAGAATCTGTGTACGTATAATATGTATGAGAACTGTTCTCATAGTTGACCCATATAGTAGAGATGACTTTAAATGGAATCAGTATGGAAATAGTTTTTGTAGATACCCAGAAGCTTGTTCTGGGAGGAGCTAAGGCAGGTCAGAGTAGACCTGATGGGTAACTCAGGTAAAGATGCTTTTCTTTTATCTGAACCACTTAGTGATTGCTTTACTTTTACTATTTTAAATTCAGAAATCCAATAAAGGAAAGGACTGTAACCTTGTGGTAGAAGGTGTGACATGTGTACTGTTGGGGGAAAGGAGTATATTGCCTGTGTTGATTTTTTTATCCTTTGCTAGAATGGTACTAGTATGTCGATAGTAACATGGGAATCTTGCTGGCAGTGAAAAGAACTAAGAAGCGAGGGTAGTTATGCTAGATCAAAACTTTCCCAATAGTTTGCCTTTGCAGGACCAACCACATAAAAAGGCAGAATACTCAGCTTTTTACTTAGTGTGAGTTGAGGCATACCCTCAAACGTTTCCTTTTCCCTAAAGTATCTTTCAGGTTGTCACTGATATTTGAAATTTCTATTTTAGAGATTTTTTTCAACTCAAAATGCAAATTCCAGGATAATGGTATTTATAATGTTGTCAGTATCCATATTTTTGTGACTTCACTTACCATCCTTTTCAATGATAGACACCCATAGTCAGCTCCTAGCAGAATGGCTAGGGAAAGACTGAAAGAAAGTTTAAGCCTGAGTGGGCACTGTAAAAAAAAACACGTAATGATGCACTATTAATAGAGGAACAAGACTTTTTTTTTTATTTTGAGTAACTTCAAACCTGGTGTTCTTTTCACTCCATTATCCTGCTATTTATAGCAGTTCAAGCCCCATAATGATACATCTTTCATTTATTTCAGTTCTGCCAAGGAAAGAGAGAATACCTTTTAATCACAGGGAAAGGATTGCCATCACCACAATATAAGGTATATATTTGGCTTGGAATGCAGGACTCTAAATGCTAGAAGGGAAAAGTAGTTGGCAGAGTCATCAGAAGTTTAGATAAGCACTTGTCTCCAGTTTAACAGCATAATTATGATTGTCTTTAACATTCTCTAGAAATATTATAATTAATCCAGAGATCTGTCAGTGGTCACTTCTCAGTTTTTTTTCTTCCCTCAGATTAAAAGACATTTGCTACAGATACTTTAGATTCCTCCAGTATTTGGAACTCTGTAGACTGGTGAATAAATATTTTGTTGCTAGTGTGAGTTCTCTGGTTTGGGTTTCATTTATTCTAGCAGATCCCTAAACTCCAGAGAGTATTGGCATTTGGATTCATGGAGTTGGCCAGCTGCTACACTGCTACCTTGTGTATGTCTCTAAGCTTTGATCCTAATAACTCATTAATGATCATGATAATCTTAGGGCCTGTGACTGTTAGCTCATAGTGATAATAAGGAATCTGATTGTAGGATATTTTTTTCTTTTTTCCTTTAGAAAACAGATCCTGGAAGTTTATTTGATCTGATATGTTTCAGTAATTTTTATAAATAGCTCTTGTACCATGAAAAGTTGCCCAGTATGATAAAACACACAAGATGTATTTTTTTCTCTTTGGTGAGAATCATGCCTATCACTAGTATATGTTTGACAGTTTTAATACTTAAAATAGTATGGGGTGTAAGGCATGGTGGTGATGAAAATTAGTCCTGTGACTACTTGTTAATCATTAGAGAAAACTTGGAGAAGGGGACAAAGTTGGTATCATTAGCAGGGCAATGACTTGCCCCTTCTTTCAACTAATCTTATTGGTAATTGTTTCTAGTCTTTAAGTAAATTAATGAAGGACCATCCCTCAAACAGAACTTTGGGGGTATAAAATAGGTCTGAGAGCTTTTAACCATGGGAGAAAAAGGTGTTGGTATTATTCATATAGCATGACCTGAGGTTGGAGAGGACCACTTGGGAGCCTGTAACCAAAACTAGAAGGTAACTTCTGGGATGGATGGAGGTTCCCTTTAAGCAGTGCCAACCTAAATCTACCTCAGGTAAGTAGTTAGAGTTAACTTTTTCAAGATTTCAGACCAAACGAGACAACTTGTATTCAGTTGATGTATTCCTGTACTTTAATGTTTTTGTTTGCCCTTAATTCTTAAATAAACATTTATTCTGAAAAACTCCATTTTTGTCTCCACTGTACTAAGAGAAACAGCATTTCCCCTACACTTGCATTAGAATAAAGTGGATATTCATGTGACAGTTAGGCCTGGTGGTAGAGAAAACCACTGGACCATCTCTAGAAATCTAGGAATTTTTGATGCTGAGGCAGAGGGAAATGGGAACCTCGAAAGAATATCATTTATGCTCTGCTGTGGACATTGGATCCTTTTGGAGCCACCTCACTGCATTACGTAAATAGCACAGGGGGGAGGGGTAATCGTTTGAACTGACTATATTTGGGGCCCTGCTCAAATTCAGTAGCAACAAAACCATCTATGTTTTTTTTTTTTTTTTTTTTGAGTAACTGACACTCTCAAAATTAAGGAAAATTTTGAATTTGCAATTCGCAGTAGAATCCATATTTCGGGTTACAGTTCTTCCCTCCCTATCATTTGTTGAATTAGGGTGGGGTAAGGGAAGTAGTGTAAAAATGGTTGCACTGATTTACCTCCCATTCTAAAGTTTGCCCCAGTTTATATCCGTTTGCCCTGCCAGCAGAATAGGTCCCAGGGTTTTAAGTGACTTTCATTGTGAAAAAGGATAAGAAAGAGATATGATGGATGGATGAAAAGGAGAAGGAAAAATGGTACAGCTACAAGTTTGGTTTTTCCTCCTGTTGTTCATGTACAGTGGTGTGGAAAGAACAAGGCCTGCTGCCTTCTTGCTGTTTTTCCCCTAACTTACAGTGATGCTGCCTCCCAACATTGAAGTGGACTGGGCGAGAAATATTTCTGGGAAAAATACTAGTCATGTCCCCTAGAAGTAACTGAAAGAGAAATGATGCCCCAGTGTCTCTGGAGAAGTAGAAAGGGAAAAGTGCTATCCAGTACACAGAAGTGGTTCTCTAAATTTACATTGCTTTTAGAGAAAAAAAAACAAACTCATAGTGCAATTAAAGCTTCTGTGTCCCTGAAACTTTAGCTTGTGTCAGCATTTTACCCAGGGAAGGATTTGGATTTTGAATGGACAAGAGAGGCTGAAAGCAGTTAAGCCTTGCAGAGGGAATCTCATTTCCATCTAGCAAAGGAAACTTAAAATGTAGTGATACGGAGGTCCCCTGGTAATGACTGATAGCATCAAGTAATTGATAATTAGAGCCTAATGGGGTAAACAGTGAACTCCTAGAGTACCTATTTCAAATTCTCTGCAACCCTCTTATTCTCAGTACTCTTAGTCTTAATTGCCTGTCTGGGAAAGTTGTGTTATGTAACTAAAAATGAGGAGAAGCCCTTTGTATGAAATTCTAATTGGACCCTGCTATAGTTTGAGTATTTATCCCTTTCAAACCTCATGTCGAAATTTGATTCTCAAAGTTGGAGGTGACGCCTAGTGGGATGTGTTTGGGTCATGGGGGCAGATCCCTCATAAATAGATTAGTGACCTCCCTTGGTGAGTGAGTGAGTTTCCTCAAAAGATGGCTGTTAAAAAGGGCCTGGCACCTCACCCCCCTTCCTCTCTCACCACGTGATCTCTGCACACCCTGACTCCTCTTCTCCTTCTACCATGAGTGGAAGCAGCCTGAGGCCATGCTTATTGCACAGCCTGAACTGTGAATCACCTCTTTTCTTTATAAATTACGAAGTTGGAGCAGCTTTGGAGAGAGATGGGGGCAGTCAGTTCAAGGGCAGTAAGGCTTTCTCATGGTTTACCATTGGGCAGTTTAAATCACACCAGTTATTTCTAACTGGGCAGGAGACTGATAAGAGAGTTGTATAGAACAGCCACTGGTGCAGTAACCTGGTCTCTCTCTTATCTCTTCTGCTGATGTCTTAAGCCCACACTCAGCCCTCATTCTCCAACCCTCTGTAAGCCCCCCACCCCCAATAGGGTCATCTACTCCACCAAGAAAGATCTCTGGCAGTCAGAGCCCTTCTGACCACTTCAAAACGAATCTCTTTATCCAGCATGCCTTTTCCCAAGGGAATAAGTGTCTTGACTCCATTAACATGCCAAAACTTTCTGCCTTTCTTCCAGTCACATTCTCGTCAATAACCTTTGGAACCTTCTTTTATCTCTTCTGTTGATTTTGTCATTCATTTCCTTCGCTGGGATTTTTCCTGTCTTCACAAAAGTATAGATGCCCTTTCATTCCCTGTATTAAAAAAAAAAAAAGTCTGAGTTCAGTGGCTCACTCCTGTAATCCCAGCACTTTGAGATGCCAAGGCAGGGGATCACTTGAGGCCAGAAGTTCGAGACCAGCCTGGGCAACATAGTAAGACCTCGTCTCTACAGAAAATTTTTAAAAATCAACCGGCCATGGTAGCACACACCTGTAGTCCCAGCTACTCCGGAGGCTGAGCCTGGAGGGTTGAGCCGAGGAGGTCGAGGTTGTAGTGAGCTAGGATTGCACCACTACACTCCAGCCTGGGCGACAGAGCGAGACCCTGCCTCAAAAACATAAAACAAAAAGTAATTTGCAGTGATCATGACCCTTCACTTATAAATGTTTCAACATGTATCTCCCAAGAACTGGGACGTTTGTTGCACATTACTACCTCTGAGGTAGGTAATGTGCACTTTGGTTCATATCAAGAGGCAAATGATGTCTATCCCATTATTGATAATGCTAAGTTTAAGCACTTGATTAAGGGGAATATACCAGATATTTCCATGGTAAAGATACCTTGTCCCTTTTGTAATTAATAAGTGAGATGTGGTATGATACTTTAAGAACATGTGTATGGCTTTAACATCCATGATGATCCTTGCCTGAATTTATTATTATTTTGGTAGTTACAAAATGGGTATTTCCCATTTCTATACTTTCTTCTATATTTATTAGATAGTCTTCTTTAAAAGGAGATTCTTTGTAACCCCTCCCTATTTTGATTTGAGTATCACGATGGATTTATGGATTTTTATTTTGATGTGTTATAGTCCATTACCATCATTATTCTTGATGTTAAAATTATGCCAAATATGACCAGTAGAAATTTTTTCAAGCCAGCTCCTGTGTTGTCATGATGTGTCCCTACAAAGCATTGAGCACTTTTTTGCTTTCTAACACAACATAATATTCCAAGTTCACTTGTACTTTCCCTGCTCCAGCCTTGCAATTAGCCATTTCTCCAAGTATCCCTGGTTCCTTTTAGTGGGAAATAGTACTTAGAAACCAAAATCTGGCTGCTGGGTTTACTCAGCATTACTGGGAGACATCATTTCTAGACACTTTTTGTGAGTTCAACAGATAATCTCATTTGAATCCAACCTCTCAGAGTTCTCCCTCACTTTCCTCTTTTCCATGTTTGTATCTTCCTTCTCCATAGTAAGGACCTGATTCACAACAACGTTAATATATTAATGTTACAATAAAATAGTTTCAGAATTACTATACCAAAAAATCAACAATCAATGTATTAAGTAAAATTAAGATTTCTTTATAATTCTTTTGGTCCTTAGACTATATCCCAATACAGGAATAGAGCCAGAGTACTGTGTTCAAAAGCTACCTGAATCAATTCTTTTTTCTGTTTATTATTGCTTTGATACGCGGTTAAGTTCCTTTGTTTCATTTTATTAAATATAAAGATTTGGTTTTTTTACTCTTTTTGTGAATATATAAAATATTTTCATGATTCAAAAGCCGAAGCAATAGAAAAAGTTTTACTCAAAGAAATTTCATCCCATCCCTGTCTCATCCACCCTATTCCTACCATCCCCAAAGGTGGTAGGTACATCCTTCATTTGTTTTTGCAAATATAGGCAAATACATGCACGTATGTATTAATATGCATATGCAATTTGGTGTATGTGTGTACGTATACATTCATCCTACTCCTTTTCTTACAGGGTGCACACTACATATACTTGTCTGTACTTTCCTTTCTTCATTTTATATATCCTGGAAGTCTCTTAATATTAGTTCATAGAGAATGTCCTCATTTTTTAAAATTATTGTATAATCTATTGTTTGACTGCCTCAAGATTTATTCAACTAATCTCTTGTGGATGGGCATTTAACAATAATGTGGCTATTAACAATAATGTCACAGTGAACTTTTTTCCATGTTTGTAGGGATATAACTTAAGGGTAAATTCCTAGATGTGGGTTAAATGTAAGTGCATATATATATTTTTTTTTCTAAAAAAATATTTTCAAATCTACGTTTGGTTGTATCCATGGATATGGAGCCCATGGATATGGAAGGCTGACTGTGTGTTCTCTCAGTGTTCTTTGCTTGTAGTATGTGTCACTATGCAAAATGTTTTTATAAAAAAATATAGTTGATAATGTTAATCTTTCCTTTTATTGCATCTAGATTTTAAGACATTATTAGAAAGGCTTTCCCTACACTTTGGTTGTATTCATTCATGTGTTTTTCTGCAGTGGTTCACTTTTATTTTTTAGACATAGCCATTTCTAAAAGAGCAAGAAAAATTCCTAGAAGCCGTCCCCCTGGGTTTCAAGTTCATTATTGATCCAATCTCTATGGACTAGAGAATGCCATGGGCTGATCTGTTTAGAGCTGTGTTCATGCACTAATTATTATCCATGCAAACAAAATTATTCTTAGACAAATAAGGCTGACCACTGGTGCTGTGGGTAAATTAAGCTCTCTTTGGGACATATGCGCTCTGTGGGGAAAGCATGAATACCTAAACAAAATCAGTGTTCTTTTAGGAAAAGGGAAGTGGGAATTCTACTATCCATTTCATTCCCTGTCTCTTCATTGTCTTTCTAGCTCCTCTCATTTTGTACTGGGTTGGTTCAGTTCATTTCCACTCCCCTTACCATCCTACAACAGGTACAGGTGCTTCTTTACCCTGCTATAGTTTGGATATTTTATCTTCTAGACCTCATGATGAAATTTTGTCCCCAGTGTTGGATGTGGAGCCTAATGGGAGGTGTTTGGGTCATAGAGGTGGATCCCTCATGAATCTCTTGGTGCTGTCCTCAAAGTAATGAGTGAGTTCTCACTTTATTAGTTCTCCCAAAAGTGCCAGAAAGAGCTGGTTG